GCGGATGGAAATTACTGACTCGCTGTGGCGACCCCTGAATAGGGATGTGCCGAAAGGAGAAGAAGAAGAAGAAGATATATATATATATATATATATATATATATATAAATTTGTGTTAGTAATGCCCCAAGTATTGTCTGACAATGCATCCAATTCCTTATGAAACTTGCATGTTTTGCAATCTCCCAGCTGCATGGACCAATTTCACGATGATGATATTATTGCAGCCATTCACACAAAATTCAAAACGTTTATATTTAGAAAGAGCTGTTTCCAGGAACTAATAGCAGCTGCTGTCCCTGGCAACAGTGAACATGAAAACGCAGGTTATTACAAACTATAAAGCATCTCACATCAATGATGTTGTTTTCATGAAACAAAAAATAAGAATGGCCTGGACGGTGTGTACAAAGCTGCAACTCACGGTGCCAAACAAATTTTTGTCAGACACTCAACCTTTTCATATAGCTTGTAACTGCCTGCCTCCTCAGGAGATTGTTGCCCTTTAAAAGACGAAATCCGCTCCCGCCAGCTTCCACCAAGCCAAGGCCGACAGCTAAAATGTTACACATGATTACTGTATGTATGCAACACGACCAGCCTCCTGCACCAAAGTCCCACAAGGACTCCCGAGCGAGCGGCCAGGGCCACCATTAGCGCACATGTCAACATGCATCATTTACAATTACACTGCTGTGAAAGCCCATTAAAAGGCTGCGTGGCTTTCGAGACACACAAACAAAGACGGGAGCTTTTCCCGAATGTGAAGCACCAGGGAGGATGGGAATTTGACTTGAGGGTTTTAACAATGACCACTCACACACACATCGGCTGGGAAACACAATGTAGGTTGGATGGGAGCTTGCATTTTGCCTTTACAAAGTTCAACTTTCATGTGTTTTATTGTGGTTGCAGTTTGCAGGTGTGTAGTGCCCCAACTTACATTTTCCAAGATACGAACCATTGCGTGTTTGACTTTTTATTCATCTTGCATGAAAAAAAAATCTGACCTCATGAGGGACTTTGCAATTCCCGCTCCCCCGCAAAAAAATCACTTTTTGTGATATTTGTTGCACAGTGCGAAAATGATCTGTGAAAAAAAAAATCCCTCTCTGTACCCTAATGTCGCATGCACCCGCCTGACGCTAACACATGGGCACACACATGCCCCAAATAAACAAGGTTGTGAGGACTACAGCTCCCAAAATCGCGAGGTGCTTTCATCGACGAAGGTGCTACAGAATAATTTTCTGCTGGCCAGCACAGCAAAAAGCTGCTGTTTCCCATCATTTGCAGGAAGAAAACACAAGCAGCAGATGGGCTGATGCGTCCTTACACAGCGTAGCCCGAAGATGAGAAACCTTTTTGCATCCTCTTTCGTTTTTGCTCCCTTTCACCCTGCTGAAACGTCTCATGCTGTCACACCGACTTTGTCTTCCCGAGACGCCCACTTTGTTCTGTCGCTTTCCTTTTATCGTTTTTCTATGCTCGCTCTTCCCCTGTTGACGTAAATTTGAGCATCCCACACTCAGCGTTTCTTTCTTTTACTTCAATAATTACCTTCCCGCTGCTGTTTTGTATATGACAAAAGGTAGAACACAAACAATACCGCTAACTACACTGAAAAAAATGTTGTCCTTTGAATTGAGTTAATTTCAACATGCGGATGATCACAGTGTGGTCAAGCGACATCATTTCTAAAAATGTTTCCCCATCTTCGCCTCGAAAATCAGTTGACCGCATTTCAATAATGTGATGTACATGTTCAGTTCAAGTCAATTTTCCACTGACAACAAAGGCTAAACTTAACTCGTCCCTGACATAAGAAGACGTTCATCCCAAAGTCCAAATGGATCACTTCAACTTAATTTCTGGACATCAACTATGACTTTCAGGGCTTTGGTGCCATCTTACAGTATGAAGAGAAAGATCCCAAAAAGCATAAACAGGTGATGATAGTTCCGTGGCAAAATACAAATCGGGCTAATTTATAACCGAGGCAATCATCTTGTCCACTTACCATCATGGTTGGGGTTCCCCAGGGTCCAAGGCTCATCTGAGTCAAAGTGGGTGTCGCCACCTATGCCGGGCCCAGGAAAGTAGGCGTGGGCGAGGAAGCCGCCCTCCCCGTCGAAAGGTGAGCTGTCACCGTGGAAACCCGAGGCGAAGATGATGGTGATGTCCACATCACGCCGGCCCGTCTCCAGGGCACTGTAAGGGACGGCCTCGAAGCGCAGCGGCGTCACGCCCTGCCACACGTCGAATGCCCGGCGGATGGCGTCGTGGGTCTCACGGGCCCCCACCTTTGGTGTGACATTTTTTATACTGTGGGAGAACAACACAGAGCTGTCCATACACAGCCAGAAACTCAATTTCCAGTCTCCTAAAGTTAAGCTAACATGCATGAGTTGGGAGCATGGGAGGAAGCTGGAGTACACCATGTATGCCTCAAGCATGGACGGCTCCAGAATTTGTTCTCTTTCTCTTTTAATAAATATGTTTTAGAATATCAAATAAAATGCTGGAGAGGCTGAAATGCGGCTACACAGATTTATGACAGGGCGGTGTAGCGCATCCCTGCATTCCAGTGTTGGCTATTTCGTAGACAAGTGCAGGGCGAAGATCTGTGCTGCTGCGGGGGTGGTCACAGCTTACTTCAATAATGGCCACTCAAAGGGGATCCTCTCATTCTCAGTCTTGATATGATATGGACATGGGTGAAGCAGGCGCATGTAGTTCCAAAACATCTGCGTGGGCACTTCGAGACCAACCCCCATCACCCACCCGCTATCGTTTGTGTATAGTGTGCAGTTAGCTAGCTTTGTA